CGTGCACGCACCATTCCGCGCGCCTGGAGAAGTACAATTGTTATTTGGCCCATGGCGCGTCTCTGACAGGCATAGAAATGTGGCTGCACTGATCTGATAAGTAAATAGGAAAACACCGATCGCATCCATCACCACCAGCTCATCATTATATATATACAGATATAGATATAGATCAGAGTGAGTGGGCCGAACGGTCATTCACTGTCCCTGGGTGCGTGGCTGAAGTGGAATTCCGCGGTGCGGATTCTCGTCGTTGTTGTTGTTGTTGTTGGTGGTGTTGTTGTTGTTGTTGTTGGTGTTGTTGTTGTTGTTGTTGTTGTTGGTGGTGTTGGTGTTGTTGTTGTTGTTGTTATTGTTGTTGTTGTTGTTGGTGTTGTTGTTGTTGTTGTTGTTGTTGTTGTTGTTGTTGTTGTTGTTGTTGTTGTTGTTGTTGTTGTTGTTGTTGTTGTTGTTGTTGTTGTTGTTGTTGTTGTTGTTGTTGTTGTGTTGTTGTTGTTGTTGTTGTTGTTTGTTGTCGTTGTCCCACCCGCAACCCGCCCCGCGACCCACCCGCGACCCACCCACCCCGCGACCCACCCGCGACCCACCCGCGACCCACCCGCGACCCACCCGCGACCCACCCCGCGACCCACCCCGCGACCCACCCCGCGACCCACCCCGCGACCCACCCCGCGACCCGCCCGCGGCCCACCCCGCGACCCACCCGCGACCCACCCGCGACCCACCCGCGACCCACCCCGCGACCCACCCGCGACCCACCTTCGACCCAAACCACGTTCAAGGTACAAACCACCATTTTCGGCGCCTGCGGCGGGCTTTTTTTGCATTCCTTCCAGGCGGAGAGCCCGCGACCCACCCCGTGACCAACTCGCGACCAACCCGCGACCCAAACCACGTTCAGGGTACAACCACATTTTTCGGCGCCTGCGGCGGGCATCTTTGCATTCGTTCAGGTGGAGAACCCGCGGCCCACCCGCGACCACGTTCAGGGTACAAACCACATTTTTCGGCGCCTGCGGCGGGCATCTTTTGCATTCGTTCCCGGTGGAGAACCCGCGGCTCACCCGCGACCCAAACCACGTTCCAGTGTACAAACCACATGTTTTGGCGCCTGCGGCGGGCATCTTTTGCATTCCTTCCAGGTGGAGGTGGAGAGCCCGCGACCCATCCGCGACCTAAACCACGTTCACTGAACAAACCAATGCCGCACAAGCGCGGCGGCGGATTTTTGCATGCCGTCTGAGCCCGCAAGGACCTCTTCAAGCCCCGCGCATCCACACCAGCCCGTCCAGCAACTTTGCCCTGGCGAGTTGCCTTGATCAGAGAAGGCGGGGAGCATAAAGTGGAAAAAAGGATTGCGTTGCAGTTATCTTGGGAAAGAGGGGGAGGCAGGAGGAGTAAACAGGGGACGAGGAGAACGCGGAAGAAGAGAGGATGTAAGGAGAAGGTGGAGAAAAAAAGGAGGAGGAGCAGGAGGACGAGGAGGGGGAGGAGGGGGAGGAGGAGGAGGAGGACGAGGAGGGGGAATGAGGATGATGATGATGATGATGATGATGATGATGATGATGATGATGATGATGATGATGATGATGATGATGATGATGATGATGATGATGGACGACAATGGGAGGACGATGATGGAGGCCGATGAGGGGGAGGACGACAATGGGAGGACGATGATGAAAGGACGAGGGGGGGAGAGGGAGGACGAGGAAGAAGAGGAGGAGGAGGACGAGGTGGAGGAGGAGGATGACGATGACGATGAGGACGAGGACGAGGAAGAGGAGGAGGAGGAGGAGGAGGAGGAGGAGGAGGAGGAGGAGGAGCGCCATCGACAGGGAAGGTGGGGGCCACGAGGTCCGCCGGCTCGACGACGCCCGCGTCGCCCGCGCCCGCCCCCTCACTCTTATCCGCAATTGCGGGGTGCTACGTATGGATATGGAATGCTTACAGATGCCTACGTGTGTGTGGGCACGCATCTAGGCATCTAGATACCTACAGCGACAGCTACATGTGTATGGACAAATCTTAAATAGTCACGCATGCACGTGCATATGCATATATGCACACATAGATAGCGGCGCCAACACACGCATATGTAGATGCAGGTTGTGACAGGGGCGCCTACCTACATTCGAGAAGTTGGCACATCTCACATCCGATGGTGATCCAATCGGGGCCCAAAAATGCAGATCACCAAGCAATCGCAAAACACAACGGCCCGCGGGTCTGCCTCTTGCATATGTTCCTTCCCTCGATCCGCACTCCCGCGCCAGCAGCGCGGCCTGCCAGGAACATCCCGGTGGCGAAGGCGTTCACCACGCGGGCTGCCGGACCCCTGTCGGTCCGCACCTTCCTTGCACTCGGCAGTTGTAGAGGAGGAGGAAGAGGAGAAGGAGGAGGAGGAGGAAGAGGAAGAGTCTCCTCCTCCTCCCCCTCCTCCTCCTCCTCCTCTTCCTCCTCTTCCTCCTCCGTCCTCCTTCAGATTTGTACCCAGCAGTCGTGAGTTCCTGGCGGGGGCCGACGGCGTGCCGAGCGGGCGCCCGGGCGAGTTCGAACAGGATTGGGTGTTGGGTTTGATGTGGTGGCGGTGGCGATGGCTGCCGGGTAGATGGGAGGGGAGGAGATGGAGAGGCGAAGGAGCATAAGGAGAATGAGGAGGAGGAGCACGAGGAGAAGGAGGAGGAGGAGGAGGCGAGGAGGAGAAGGGGAGGAGGGGGAGGAGGAGGAGGAGGAGGAGGAGGAGGAGGAGGAGGAGGAGGAGGAGGAGGAGGAGGAGGAGGAGGAGGAGGAGGAGGAGGAGGAGGAGGAGGAGGAGGAGAGGAGGAGGGAGGAGGGGGAGGGGGAGGAGGAGGAGGCGAGGAGGCGAGGAGGAGGAGGAGGAGGAGGAGGAGGAGGAGGAGGAGGAGTCGGGGAGGGGAGGAGATGGAGAGGCGAAGGAGCATGAGGAGGAGCACGAGGAGGAGGAGGAGGAGGAGGAGGAGGAGGACGACGACGACGAGAAGGAACCGAGACTCGTCGAGGGATTCTCTGCTGCTCGCCCACGGCAGCCCTGCTGGTGCCGTTGCCGCCCCCTGTCTTCGCCTGCGCGTGGACCGAGTCACACCGAGTGGTGCTCCCCCAGGGAGTACCGCGCGGGCCAGCGCCGACGCGAGCCTCCGATGGCCTCTCGCGGCCCCACCTCTGCACACCTCGGGCCCAGGCGTGCGCCGGGGAGCAGCCACTACAGTCGGGGCCCTGAAGAAGGAACCCTTTTCGTTGGGGAGGGGCTCCGTGTTCCTTGATTGTTTCGCAGCTTGCCTTGGATTTTCCTTAGGTTTTCGATACGGGATCGAAGTGCAAATTATGGAAAATAGGGGCCTCGTTCCTTATTTGGGGTTCCTTAGGTCAACGCCCCGACTGGACAGCCCTGCCAGCCCAAGAGGACGAGGAGAGTGCAGCAGGAGCACCACGGGCAGCGCTAGGGGGGGATCTGCTCCGGGGGGACGCAGCGGCCCCCCCAATCGCCCGCTGATCTCCGGTAATTAGGGTTATGTCGGGCCTGTCCCCCTACAGGGGGATTCTCGACGAAACATAAAAGATACCCCAAAAATGGTCCAAAAATTGTATAAAAATAGGCTGGGGGCTATGTTTTGAATTTGTTTGCCTTTGGGAGCATTTTGGCGGTATTTTTATTTTTTCGACGAAAATCCTCCTGTGGGGGGACACGCCCGACATAACGACAGGGGCCTGGCAGCACATGCCGTCCGGGAAGTTGCGGATCCGCCATCGGGGGCCTGCCGTCGACCTATCGGCGGTGTGTCGCCGAGTCCAGACCGGTGTGTCCCCCACCTGAGCCGGTCCCCCCGGAACGTTGCCCCGCAGAGCAGGAGGAGGAGGAGGAGGAGGAGGAGGAGGAGGAGGAGGAGGAGGAGGGAGGAGGAGGAGGAGGAAGAGGAGGAGGAGGAGGAGGAGGGGGAGGAGGAGGAGGGACTGAAGCCAGCGACGAAACGAGCTGGCGTTTACTCTCAAGTGTCCGGCGTGGCGGTGGGTGCTCGCCAGCCAGCTAGACGTGTGCACATCATCGTCTTCTTCCTGCGCTCCACTGTGCAATCTGTCTTGAGATTTCGGGCGCTCGGCTCGCGATCGCGCTGCGATCGTCATCTCTGTTGGAGAGATCTGAGATGTTTCTTTGTTCTTGTTCTGTTGTGCCACCATTGTCCTGGCAGCGGCGCTTGTCACTTACGCTCCCCCCTGTGTCATGACGCTCGCCTGGGGTCCCCCCCATGCGCCCCAAGACGAATGCCGAATGCCTATCACCCATGCACGCTGTGGCGCTACATTGTCGTCAGCCGCTCTACCAGCAATGACCGCAAGTAAACGCGGACAAGCTTGCCCAACCTCGGCCTCAGAAGGCGACAAGACCAGCGCCCCCCGAAAGAGCTGCTGGCGACAGCATTTCCAGGGAATGCCCCCACAAGGCTCCGCTGCCCAGATCTCATCCAAAATTGCTCAATTTTCACCCCTGGCCCCTTCCCATGATCTGCAGCCTAGAAGTGTTGGACTGCAGCTCCCCCCCGCGTCTTGTGCGGTGCCTCGTGGGCGAAAAACCTGTCTGCATCCACGGCCTCGCGGGCCGCGCGACCCTGCGGATACGGGGCGCGGTGTTCGCGGGTGCCCCGCGCAGCAAGCCTCCGTCCTGGCATCGCTCGGACGTGTGCATGCTTCCTCCGGCGAGGACCATTGAGGAGCATCCTTGATCGTCTGGCGAAGAAGCCGCGCACGAGACCGAAGACAGCACAGGGAATGGACGTCCGAGCGATGGCCAGCCGTGCCACCGCGCATCCGCGGGAGCGCGCTCCAGAGTCCCGACCGCGAGGGCGCGGATGCGCACGTGTGCTCCCCGCTCGTGCGGCGCCTGCCCGCTCCCCCCGGGAGGTCCGCTGACCGGCAGAGCTTCTTCGGGGCGGCCGGGCGGACGGCACCGCCGTGGGCCTCTTTGGGTGCGCAGGCGCCCCGCGGCCCGCGGCCCGCCCGCCCTCTCTCGCCACGGCGTGCGGCCGCGCTGCAGGGCAGGGTGCATGTATCTGGGCGACCCAAAAGGGTCGGGGCGGATAGAACCCCCAACAGTGACACGTCGGTTCGTGAATTGCCCTTTTTCCGGTTCTCGAGAGGGCGCCGCGGCCGTCATTTTCCAGGCTCGCGCCCGCCAGGTTTGGGCCTCAGGTCGTTTTCACGAAGCCACGTTTTACCAAAGGGAGGTCTGTCCATCCCCGAAAGGGGGTCCAGCTGCAAGGGGGTGGTGCAATAGATTTGGGGCAATTGTATTGCAAACGTATCGCGCTGGAGATATGTATTGCAGTGTATTGCAACGAATATATTGCACGCGACAATCCAGCAATACCTTTGCGCCCCGGAAGGTATGGCACGCCCCGAATGTATTGCAACCCCACAAATCTATTGCACCAAATCTATCGCACCACCCCCTTGTCTCGGGGGCGGAGAAGAGGGGGGTGATGACTAGAGGGGGTGGATATCATGGCGGGGGCCATGATATTTCCCCAGATTTCATGGCGCCTCTTCTTGCTTCATTACGTCCCTGGCCCCCCCCCCGCTGGGCCGCGCACATGCAGCCGGCCATGATTTGCACCCCCCCCCCCTCTTGGACACCCCCCTCTTGGCCGCTCCCGATTGTCGCTGGACCCCCTTTGGGGTCAACCCGAGAAGCGAATCCGTAGCTACATTCGGAGAGGAGAAGGAGGAGGAGAAGGAGAAGAAGGAGGAGGAGGAGGAGGGGGAGGAGGAGCAGGGAGAGGAGGAGGAGGAGGAGGAGGAGGAGGAGGAGGAGGAGGAGGACGGCTGGACCCCCTTTTGGGTCAACCCGAATGTAGTCGATCCTCGCGCCTCGCGGCCTGGGTTGGAGAGGCGCCCGTCTCCAGGGCGGCGGCGCGACGGCGCGACGATGGCCGCGCCTCGAGAATCGACGAGGGCCTAGACGCAGGAGGGACAGAAACGCACAGACACAATTAATCGTCGATTCCCAGGGAAATATGCGAAAATATGGGAGGGGGGGGAAGACAAAAACCCGAAAATAGGGGAAAATATGGGAAGTGGGGGGGAAGACTATGTCGGGCCTGTCCCCCTACAGGGGGATTTTCGACGATAAATAAAAGATACCCCCAAAATAGTAAAACAATTGTCCAAAAATAATCTGGGGACTATTTTTGGAGTAGTGTTCGACAATTTTGGCGCATGCGTGGGGTATGTTTTATTTTTCGTCGAAAATCCCCCTGTAGGGGGACACGCCCGACTTAATACCAGACGGAAGGGCGGATCGATGTCAAATGAAGGGGTGCGTGCCCCTGTGCTTACCCCGCTGGCTGTCTTCGATGGGGCCCCACCGCTGAAAGCTTGTCGTCTTCACGTGTCATCACAGTGAAATGCTGGGTGCAGTTGTGGATTGATGATGGGAGCGACGCACGCCTCGTTGCCAATATGTCGATGAAGGCTCCACCTGATGTCCTGCTCTCTCTCTCTCTCTCTGTCTCGCGCTCGCTCTCGCTCTCGCTCCCTCTCTCTCTCTCTCTCTTTTTCTCTCTCTCTCTCTCTCTCTCTCTCTCTCTCCGTAGCCAACCGTTGACTCTCTTATTTGCAATTGCCTTCATGATATTGTGTGTCAGCTCCTGTCTTGCTATGCCCAGCAAGCTCCATGTTCCAACCGCGGCCTCGGCATGTCTCATCAGAACGGTCCCGACGCAACCAGCATTGGGAAGCATTTATTTCAAGACAAGAGCTCAATAGATGCCTGACATGCAGACCACGCTATGCAAGCACATGTTTTCATCTATGTTAGCTAGCGCGGACCCCAAACAGTGTTTGAGCGAGCGTGGAGGTTAAACATATGCGGTGCAAGCTATTCGGCGTAACATATGCGGTGCGAGCTATGTAGTGCAAGCTATGCTGTGTCAGCCATGTGGTGGAAGCTATGCAGTGTAAACTATGACGTGCAAGCTATGTGGTGCAAACTATGTGTTGTAAGCAATGTTGTGTAATAGATACGGTGTGGTCTATGCGGTGTGAGCTACGTGGTGAAAATTACGCGGTGTAAGTTAGCCGGTGTGAACTATGAGGTAAACCATATGCGTTTAAGTTATATGGTGCGAGCCATGTGGTGCAGGCTAAATTGTGATAGCCATGTGAAGTGAGCTATGCGGTGGAAGTTGTGTGGTGTAAGGTATGGTGTGCAAGCTATGCGGTACAAGCTACGGTTTGTACGTAATTTCTCTTTGCAGTGAGCTGTGAACTCCACTGCTCGCGCAACCATCCCACACACCCACCCACTACTTGGTTTGCAAAGTCCATACGGGAGCGATTGCGATGCGTGCTTGGTGTTGGTTGGCGCATCTGCGCGGCCGCGCCAGCCCGCGCATGCACGCGGCCGCGGCGGATCCGACCGCTGGGCACTTCCCAGCGGGCACTCCAGCGCGAGTCGGCGACTTGGGTGGGCGCGGTATCATGGCAACGTCTGCCACGGTAGACACGGTGATGATGGTAGCGGTGCTGGCGACGAGGATGGCAGCGACGACGGCAAGGCCAGTGACAGCGCCGATGCTGATCACGCCGACGACGATGACGGCGTCCGAACGTCGAGGATGAAGCTGCTGAAGGGAGTTCGACATGCGCGCGCGACCGACGCGCGCGAGCAACCCGCATGGTATCATTTGGCACGAATCGCGCCCCCCCCCCCGCAGCGCGCGTGCAAGGGCGTCCGAATGATTTCGACATGCGGCGCGAGGGGCCCGTTTGGTAGGCTTGAATGAGCATATTCAAAAACAGATGCTTCCTATGAAGAAATCGAAGGAGCGCGATCGCAGTTTGTTTTGACATTTGTTGTTGCAAATCCATGTGCTTCATATGTGTTTAAGAGCGCTGGAGAAGGCTTGTTTGGGGAAGCGGATGTTGCGAAGCGGGACAGCCGATTTTGAAATCTTTGCAAGTTTCAGGTTTGTTTCAGGATTCCGGCACGCGCGCACGATAGCGCGCGCGCACTTCGTCCCATGTTGTGCTCAGGGCTTGTGGAATCTGAGGGCGTTTGATAAGCGAGTGCACGCGCATTGCTGCTGCAGAGGAACATGGGGGAGCGATACCGGCCTGCCTGGGAGGTATGTTTTCATATTCAGGATGGACGATGCGGCAGAATCGCACACATATCTATATATATATATATACCGTTATACGCGAAAGGGCACCGCTAAGTCCAGGGCAGGGCAGGCAAATCCCAGAATCTATTAGATATGAGATTATATGTGGTGCAAGCTATCCAGTGCAAGCTATGCGGTGCATGCTAACGAGGGGAGCCCACGAGTGGGCACAGGTAGGCGCCCACAAGGCGCCATGGGTCGGCACCGAACGAAATTTTAAAACCCTTTGTGGGTCCCAGAACTTTGGGAATCCTGAATCATCTTCAGGGACACTGAAGAAGTACATCGGAAATCGATCGGAACCCGCAGGGATCTCCAAGAAAAGAAAACCGTAGTAATCCTTACAATCCGGGGAACGCTGTGCTGACGAATGCTGAGAAGCTAACAAGAAATCTTGAAGAACACTACAGAACCTTCACAAACCTGGACAAATCTTGAAGAGTTCGGGAGATCCCATGAAATTTTGTGGGGTATTGGGGAATCTTCAGGAATCCGTCCGAATCCTCCAGAAACCGCATGGGTTATCCAAAACTTGCAATTTTGAGGAATCGATCTAAGCACCCAAAAATATTGTTAGAATTTTCTGGATCCAGCGAAGCCCTTCAGAATCATCCGGAGTCCAACGGCTACCAAGAAGGTCTCTAGAAATCCTTCTGGATCCTTGGAAATCTTCCGAAATCTCCCGGTAATGTTGACCGAATCTTCAGCAATCCAGACGAAATTCTTGGGATATCCCAGGAATCCTCCGGGATCTTGGAGAACTTGCAGGAATCTTTACGAATGCGGAGGAATTGTGAGGATCTTGATGAAAAGGGATATTCGATATGACACAGGAGCTCCAAAAGTTTCATGGGGAACGCGCCAGCAGCGCCAACACCTTCTCCAACCCCGTTGGGGACCTGCGGCCGCCGCCCCACAAGCCCACTGTTGCTGGCGTTCTCCCCCCCTTAAGGGTTGCGACCTCTGAGAAAGAAGACGACCTCATTAACAAGTCGGGGCCGGTGTGGTCGTCCGTCGGGACAACAATCAAAACAATGTGAATATTATTTGTTTCCGTGCCATTCAATATGTCCCTAACCTTCCATACTCGCCCTCTTCGTTTTTCTATCGTGCACTCCTGGGGGGTATATCTTCCTTACCTGCCACGTGTACTTGGCGCAGTCCGTCAAAAACGGGAAGGAAGGGAGGAGAGGAGGGAAGGGACATAGCGGAGGAAAAGGATGGACGGGCGAGTCGGGCGGGCGGAACTTGACGGGCGGGTCGGGCGGGCTGGCCCACACGACTGGATCGAGCGGGCGGGTCGCTGAAGCGTCAGTCCTGCACGAATCGCGAGGGAGTCCCAACCGACAGCGCTATTCCTAAGTAAATTTCTCGGAGGTCCTGAGAGGAGCGCGATTCCTCCTGAGTGTCGAGGGCGCCGCGCTTCAATGAATTGTAAGGAGGTCCCACGCGAGAGCGCGATTCCTGCATAAGTAGTGAGGAAGTCCCGCGCGAGCGCGCGATTTGGATAACATTATAGGGCAGTATCAGGCGGGAGTCTTGATTGTTGCAAGCAGGGGGCACAAGGTACAGTCTGAACCTCCAGACTTCCTTTTGCAAAAAATCCGGCCGCGAGGCCTGGGAGGGGCGTTTCAATTTACACGACACAAGGTGGATTGGCGGGGGCGCTGGGATCAACAAGAATAACCTTTCGGACATGAGAACTCCCCCCCCAAAAAACAACCAACCAACCATTCAACCAACCACAACAACAACAACAGCAACAACAACAATTGTAAGGTTGTTCGCTCTTATCTGCTCGCGTGCCAATCAACACGTAT